AGAGTATAACCAGAAACTAAAGAAGTCCCTGACGGATATTCAATCCAATCTCACTGGTAGTGTCATCTTCTACGCCGATATCTACGGAGCATTGTTCGACATGGCTACTAATCCCCAAAAATACGGTAACGTAACGTTTTCTTTTATCCCATGCACATAACATTTCGCCCTAAATCTAGTTCTCATTGCGTTTTGAACAATTGCACCTCTTTCTATATTTAATTCAGTGTTATATCATGAAATAAATATATACAATATACGTTAAAGACATTCTTAGACAATTTAATGGTAACAAATTAAACAACGTATTTAACCCGGTTTCGTTGACATGATTGGAACTTGGAAGTGCTCTATGTGACTAGACCATGCATTAATAAATATTTTGATTTACGATTACAAAGTAGTAAAGTGATTCCTTTGAAGGGGACAGGGATAAAGGAGACGACAAGAGGATGCTGCGGAACGGGAGAGATGGAGTTATCGTACTTGTGCAATCCTTTAACTCCGACTTGTCCCGACCCGAACCACTTCCTTTTTTGGGACGATATTCATCCTTCCCAAGTTGCTTACCTCGTCATCAGTCTCAGTCTTATTGATCAAATCCTCCAAGTTTTCCATTGATCTCAATTTTTGCTTTTATATATTAATTCGTATAGAGGATGTTAATCTATATATCCCTCTTGCTTCAGATAACATAATAGATCGCGTTGCCTAAGATAGTCCTTCCGTGTACTAATACTCATTCTACAAAATAGCTGAATTTCTATGCGAATAAAGAATCCAAGCAAAATAACAACCACTATGGTAATGACTAATGAGCCTAGAGTTTTGATTTCAAAGAAGACTTTTATATAAAAAAAGAGTAACGAATATGTAAAAGACCAACAATAGGGATTTTTACAAAAAATAGTTGCCGAAATATTTAATTTATTTATCAACAAAAAAGTGYCTACAAACCTTTGGCAAGCCTTGACAGCCAAAAGAGATTGAAAATTTGAAATCCAAAAAACAGAGCAAATATGGTCAAAAGAAAATAGAGCAATCAAAGCTTTTTTTACAAATTTTCAACTATTTTCAAATCATTTTGTTAGAACAAATTGGGTCCTTATTAAAAGTAAAGCAAGAAACTTTGATTTGAAGATGAAAATGTTCTTTTATTGATTCATTTCAACTTATCTTTTACAATCACTCTGCCTCCCGCTTTTTTACAAGGACTCACACTAGGGTTTTAGAAATTGGAAACATCTAGATCTACCTCCAGCTGTCACTCATCCGATCCATCATCCTCAGATACGAGCGGTGTGTATCTGTTGAAAACTTTGGTTTGACCGACCGTACCCATAGCTGGCCTTGCTCCTTTCTCCCATATATGCTCTGTAATTTTGTCTTTACTCAGAGACGAAGATGACCGTTGCTCCTTATCCTCATCCGTTATATACTCTGTCTTGGGCCTTATTACTTCTACTTCAGCTTTGGGCCTCGCTGTCTTTGCTTTATCCGTTGGCCCAATGAACAAAACATTTTTGTTTTGTTTTGTCTAACACTCGAAACCTTCTCTTTTAGTTAGAGGCTTTGTTGTGTCTGAGTTTCCTGAAGAGTGCACTCTTACATT